TCTGAGGAAGGGTCACCGGACCCGAAACGTTAACTCTGTTTTCTCCTCCACAGATGCTGCCAGACCTGCTGAGCTTTTCCAGCAACTTTGTTTTTGTTCCTGATTTACAGCATCCGCAGTTCTTTTGGTTTATACTTAAATGGTGCAACCATGAGGGACCAAAAGATGCAAATAGAGTTCCACTTGGCTGTAATCTAAATTACATCTATTTTCACATCTGGTAGTGACCGTGCAAATACAGACTACATGACTCTACATCAAGTTGCTGAGAAGTCGATGCAAGCAGAGTTTTGGTTGTTTAAGGAGAAGCAAGTTCTGTCCCTGTAAGCTTGATGAGATCCAGGCAACTTTGGTGATGGAGCCAAGACTTAGGACACTCAACTGTGCACAGGGGTACCGTTAGGAATGTACGAATCTTATAAATGATAGCAACTTTCAGAGAAGAAGGAAGCCATTCAACCTCTCATGGCTGTGCTGTCTCTTTGAAAGAGCAAATATTAACTATTTTTATTAATTCATGGAATATAACATCACTGACTAGGCCAGCATTTAATGTCCATCCTTATTTGCCCTGAGCAAGTTAGTGGAAAGCAGTCTTCCTGAATTGCTGTGGTCCACTTATTGTAGGGCCCAGTCATTGTGCTGTTGGGAAGGGCGTTCCAAGACTTTAACTCAGCATCACTGAAGGAACAGCAGTCTATTTCCTAGTCAGGATGGTGTATGGCTTGAAAGGAGGTTTCTGGTGGTGGTATCCCCATTTATCTGCTGCTCGTGTCCTTCAAGCTGGTAAAGGCTGCCTGTTTGGAAGGTGCAATCAAAGTATCCTTGGTGAGTTAAGGCAGTGCACCTTGTAGATGGTACACAATGCTGCCAATGTGCATCCATGGTGAGGAAGTGAGCATTGAAGGTGGTGGACATGGTGCCAATTTAGTATCTGCTTTGTCCTGGACAGTGTCACGTTTCTTCCTGCACTTATCCAGGCAAGTGGAGAGTATTCTATGATGCTCCCGACTTTGCCTTGTAGATGGTGGACAGGCATTTGGGAAACAATAGGTGAGTTACTTTTTGCAGAATTGCTAGTCTTTGACCTACGTTAGCTAATTAAAACCACAAAGTCTTCCAGAGCAGGACACTGCTAAGGTTTTTCCTCAATTCCCACTTAAGATATGCACCATATTAGGGCC